CGCGTGAGCTGACATCCTAAAATTTCAGCTCCTAGTCTTTCAAGTCCCTAAGTTGGAAACAATAGATGAAACGTACACATGTACGCATACAGATATATAAGATATATACAGATATATATATATATATATATATCTGAATATATCTATATATACACAGTTAGGGCCGCTGCAACGCGCATTTTGTGCAACTGTTGCAGCATAAGTAGCAAAAATGGAAATAATACGAATGAAACTTGGGCGTCGAAGTGGGTTTATGAGGGCTATGAAAGCTAGTATCCGCAGAAAAATCTGCACTGCTCATGTAATAATTGCACTTGCGTGCCGAAGTGAGTGTATGAAGTATGTCGGGGGCGGGCTGTATCGATGTATCAGCGGTAGAAGTATGCTGATTTGTGAATGGCACGGGGCAGAATGAATTATCCAAAGTATTTTTCTTTTCTCATAGTTTCCCAGCACCAGTCTGCATGATTTCAGGTTACTAACAGAGAAACTGTTTGTTTGCAATTTCGTCCCGTACAAATTGGCTGACGAGAAACGTGCCGATGTATTAATCAATATTTTTCTTAGCTTAAACAGTCTCGGAATGCTGTAAGATTTTTTGAATTATCTAATACTTGTAATTTTAGGCTCATTGAGCTGATGTATCCTTCCAGTGCTGCGACACATAACATGAATCTCTTCCTGGCCATGCTTTTGTCAATACTATCGCTGCCGAAAATCCTTTCTTTTCCTTTTTTTCCATTTGGGACCTTATCGCTCTGGTAAATGCAGAATGAATGTGTTGTTTGGTGGCTCAACTTACAGGTGATGAGGTAGTGATAGAAAAAGAATTGATGGAAAAGACTGCTACAGAATTTTCTTTGTATGTTCGGTCTGTGATTCGGCATCTACTTTCATATATACTGCAGTTATAGGGTACCATAACTTCGCGGACTCGTTCTTCAAGTTTGGGCACTTTCTGTTTGTTTTCCGCACGAAAAAAGCGTTTTCAACGAAGAGACTGACAGTCAGTTTTTGCTATCATAGTCCACTCGATTTCTCTGATTAAAATCTCATCTCTGTTGATTTTCCTGTGTTAACTGCGCTGACTTTCCACAAATAGGGCACATTTTTTAATGATGGGATAGTATGTATTCTTATTCATAACATGCAGTGATCGTCTTCCGTATCAAAGGAAGGTACCGGTCATGCACCCTTGAGATTATGCCAATTCATCGACCAAGTATTGTATTCGTTTGTTCATTTTTTGCGCTGAATGCAAGTCAGCTCTGCTCTTGGCTCTTCGGGGGCCAGATTTTACCAACAAACACTTTTTTTTGTCTTTGCTCTTATTGTTATCCTGTTACCGCTGTCGTTCCTCTTGCCAGTGCTTTATCTGTTAACTTATTTCCATCCCCCCTTCTTCCTGGGTTTTGTGCTGGAGGAGCCCATAGCACCCTGATGCTTTGCTGATTTCCTGGAAATAATGATTAATGAGTTATTCGCACAACAGCGATCTACGGTTGTAAGTGCATAGCGAATGTTCAAGCTGATTCGGAAGAAACATCCTCCATTCTGTGCACTTCTTAGCAATCTCGTCCTCCGATTACCGCTCCGCTGTTCCGGACGAGCCAAAAGGCGCTCGGGACACCGGGGCCCATTTTTATTTTTCTTCATTTCATTTCGTTCGGCATGGTTTGTCAGATGGCGCATAGTTTGCGTTTTACTCATAGAATCAATGATCAAACGGGAATTGAACTTCACTTTTCCGAAACTTAGCTAGGAGGACAAAGCTGCGCAGTCTCTCATCAACACGGGATATTTGAAATTGTCTGGGCCTACTCTGCTGCCATTCATCCATTACGACGAGTGCCTGAATCAGGAAATTTTCTTTTTTTTTTTGCATCTAATTGATGTGTATGTAATTCAGGGCAGTGGAACAAATTTTGATGAAGCAGTCCCGTCAACGGAACCTTTTATACGATCTGGTCACACTGCTCAAGCAGGGTCCGAAATCGAAGAGTGAAACGGCATTTGAGGAAATTTTCAAAAAAATCGTTGAATTCGATCCTGAGCCACTAAAATTTGCGCGTCATTTCCGGTAAAAATTCATTTTTCGTTGGCCAAGGTAAGCTAGAACGATCAACTCTTTCGGAAATTCGACCAGAAAAAAACATTAAAAGTGTTAAATTTTTGTATTGACATTTTTTTGCGCTAAATTTAAATTTTCAGAAAGTTTGTGGAAGTGTTGAAAAAAGATCTCGAGCTGTTGTCATTGTTGGAATATGTGCTTGGTAGGGAACATCAGCAGGAGAAAGTTGAAGACGATTTTGTATGTTAATTTTAGCTTACTTTTTTTTTTTTTTTTGCGCGAGAATCCCCAAAATTTGGTGTGGCGGTCACGTATTTTCGTTCTTTCTGTTGTCAAAATTCAGTAAATATGATCAGAATGACTCTGAAAAATTTTTTAAGAGCATTATCAACAAGCTTATGTATTTTTGTTTGCGATGTATTGTGTCGAGGGGGCTATTTTTTAACTGATGGACAGTTCGGGTGTAAATTGGCCGACCCGGAATTTTGAGGATAACCGACGCAAAAGTGTGTTTTGCGGCAAAATCTCGACTCAGTTTGTCCGGCATTGAAAGAATCTCTCTTTTTTTCTGGTAATGCAATTTTGGGGAACCGCTTGTTGGTGGTGTTTGGCATGATGCCAGCGAGCGCTAGCGGTGTTCTCAGAGTGCTCGGTGGGTGGATAACGTGGTTGAGGTGGTGGAGCGTGGTTGGGGTGTGGTGATGCCCAGATGCCGCTCCGGAATGAGGAATTCGAAGCAAAAAATGGTGAAGTGATTGGTGGGTGATGGGTGTCCAGACCCCAAAGGCATGCGGAAAAACTTATTAATTTCCTTACAGGTGCAATACGTCAATTTGGCTCTCGAGTTGACATTTTGCCAACAGTATATGAATTTTAGCTTGATATATCCGTACGCATGACGTAGGCATGCGCAGTAGCTGAATTTGAAATCTTTTGCTCGCACATGTGTAGGGAACACCACGTTAATTTTCGGGTTCTTATCCTCTCTAGTTCTCAAAGTTCAAAAATTTGCGTTTCAGGCGGCCTCATGATGCAGCACTACCGTCCTTTCCTTTTATATGCATGAAAAGGCCGAAACGCACCCAACATCAGCCCATGACTATAAAGCAGCAACCATGCATATTCTTAACGTCCTGACTGCTTCGTGTTTAGCGTGAAAAGGGTAATTTTACCCGTAAGTCTGATGCGTTGCTAGCTGGGTTGCATTTGCATTAATATGTCGAAAACGCAAAAAATTGGGAAAATACGTACAGGGATCTTCATGTAGAACCGTAGTTTCGAACGTAGGAGACAACTTCGACTATATCACCCTCTGTTTCTTGGGGAATTCAGTACACCATTGATTTTACTTGCCCCTTTAAACTTTATTTCTTTTTTTTCCAACATTTTTGATTCCTATTGGTTTCAGCTTTTTTTTTGTAATTTTTGCGTATATTTTTTTTTTTGTTTCAGAAAAAATTTACGGGCGGACTTGAGAAGTACGAATTGCCGAAAGAATGCGTGGATACTATCAAATCATTGCTGCAGCGCTGTTTACCATTTCAGTTCAATGGGGGCGCAGTAGAAGTTTTGGTCGACAAGATTGTTACAGCTATCAAAAGCATCGAAGATTTCCACAAGGAATCGTCGGATCGTTGCCACCGTTTGCTAAGGCTTCTTGAAGTATGCTTAATTTTTATGCTTTCTCATAATATACGAATATTTACGATGTACTGCCCCACTTGAGCCTTCTTCCCTTCAAATAATCACAGTCCTGTCGAAAGAAACTGTCTTATTCTGGTTATCATGACTCCAGCACTGTTTTGAAATGATGGCGGCAATCCAGTATCGGATACTGGAACCAGAACATGACATTCGGTATGGAGACCAGCTGATGCTATTGGTATTGGCTACGTCAAATACTTCGGCCCTGAGCTGCGCATCTCTAATCAATATCTTTCGGCAGCTACTAAAGCTTGGCTCGACTTGACTCGGCCGAGCCAGGGCGTGAGTTGTGATTTTAATGATGTGCCATTCGGAACTGGACTGAGACTTCAGCTAATTGCAGTTTGTGTAGTATGACGGGTAGGGGTGGTGGGAAGATCGGGAGTGTAGGTTTAGTTCATAGAAATCGTGGCAGAGGACAAGCGGGGAGGGGGGGAGGGTGAAATATGATGAATAGAAAGGAGCTAAGGCCCTACTTGGAGGCAGGAATTGCAAAAAGAGATGGGGGGGGGGGGGGGGGGGGG